AAGGGTGGGGAAGTGGAGAATGTGAAGCATGAGTGTGTACAGATGAATCTGCACAGATGGCTCAGGTGATGAGGGGGAGGTGGTCAGGAAGGTATGCAGGGCTGGGGGCTGATGGAGAGATCAGGAGGGCCAGGAATGAGGGGTGGGCAGGGTGCACCCTCTTGCAGGACCCTGTTGAGATAAAACTGAGCAGTGGGCAGCAAAGCATCCCTCACCTCCTGAAGTATGCACCGGCGAATACAAAGAGTAGAGAGTAGAGGGCCCCTTGCACTGAGTGAGCATGGGAGGATCCACCAAGTCTTCCCAGACATAGTCCAGGAGGTCTCCAATCCTGATGACTATTGTCAGGACCAACCTCTGGAACACCGAGGGGGACTCTGCCACCTGCACACAATTGAGGATTGTGTAGGAGGGGCTCTATGAGGAGCTCTGCCCCCACGGTGGCTCCCAAGGACCTGGTCACCGAAAGCAGCTTCCAGGTTTGGAGGAGGTTCTGGTAGAAGGCCGATAGCTCAGAGAGGTCTTGTGGAAGACCTCTCAAATAAAGGAGCTGCCAGTCATATTGAAGCCCTCGAAAGTGACGAAGGAAAGCGTGCACCAGCGTGCTCCATGCCGGACTACATGCATCGTATAGGAACCTCTGCAGGGCTTGTGCAGACAAGTCAGGCCCTGCCCTCCCTCCTTCAAGGGGAGATAGAGAACCCCTGCAGAGACCCAATGCAGTCCTGGCCAGAAGAACTGCAGCATCAGAAGAACGGCCAGAGCATGGACAGGACCAGTTGGTTAAGCACCAGGGCCCTCCTACGCAGGGAGAGTCACCTCTCGGCCACCCTGGACTCTAAACCTTGCCAGTTCTCCAGCGGGGAGAGCTGTGTGGCAGACAGAAAAATGCCAAGATAGAGCAGCGGACCTGTGATCCACCTGTTAGCCTGAAGCACGAGTGGGAGGGAACTCGCCTGCCACCTGACCCTGACCACCAGGCCATAGCTCTTGACCTAGTTGACCCGGGCAGAGGAGACTGCCAAGTAAATGGCTCAGCAGGCATCCACCCATGGCAGGTCACCCGGGTCCAGGACCATAAGGAGCACGTCATCAATGTACACTGACAGGACCAGCCGCATCTCTGGCTTGTGAAAGAGACGGAGGCAGGGTTTGATGCCCAGACCATACAGCTGACCTGACAGCAGACAGTCTGCCCAAAGCTGACAGGTGCGGCCAGGGTCCAAGCTGAACTTGACCAAGCACTCTACAGAGGCGTACAGCACATGGAGAAACCCCACAAAGTGGGTCCTGAAGCCGAAGGCCTGCAGGATACCCAGGGAGCACCTGTGGTCCATCTGGTCAAACGCCTTCTCCTGATCCAAAGACTGGAGGGTGAATGACCGACCATCCCCACATCCGAACTCTAGGAGATCCCGGACCAAATAAAGGCTGTCAAAGATGGTGCAGCCTGGGATGTGTAGGTCTGGTCTTGATGAACCATGTCTGCCAGCACGGACTTTAGGCGCAGGGAGATGGCTGTGGAGATGATTTTATAGTCAGTGCTGAAGAGCGAGATGGGACGCCCATTCCTCAGATTGCGAGGTCCCCCTTCTTAGGCAGCAAGGAGAGCACGGCTCACCTACATGATAAAGAAAGGACCCAGCTCACCAAGGACTTGCCCCAGCAGGAGTTTGGGGAGGGCAGGTACACGGGTAGTTGGGTGAGAGGGTTCCTGTTCCTGGCATAGGCTGCCAGAGACTGCTGCTCAGCAACCAAGACAGGTGGGCACATGAGGCTCATTAGGCACCATCCTGCAGTAGCAGCAGGCTAATGGGACATCTGCAGCCAGGTAAGGCCTTCTGTGCCACTGTAAGAGGCTTCCCCTCAGATGAGGTGGGGGCAGGAAGTATGGACTGCAGAGGAGGAAGTACAGCGTGGAGGCCAACTGTGGGTTGCAAGCAGGAGAGGTTGTCTCCAAGACTCTAGGGAGAAGGTTCTGTAGGAGTGATTGGGAAAGTGGCTCAGGGAAAGGATGCTATTCTGTGGGGAAAAGGGCAATAATCCCATTAGTGACTGCTACCCAGGGCCCTGGACTGGAAGCCAGAGTAAGTGGGTGGGACTGGGTTCTCTCCAGCCCTTCCCATGCCCAGTGGGCTGCTACCATGGAACATGGGACTTTTGGACCACAGAAGGGTTTTCCCTCCAAGCTAGTGACATCCCTATGATGAAAATGGCTCATTTAGCAGGGAACCCTTGCTTCTGAGGCTACGGCTACACTGAAAAAATGAGGAATAATGGCTCTTCTGCAAGAGGGGGCTTGCGCAAAAAAGGAACCATCTACACAGCTCCTTTTTGCGCAAAACCTTCTTGCACAAAAGTGGCTACTAATCAATTATGCAAATGAAGCATGGTGATATTCCATGCTGTGCGTCATTTGCATAAGCTTTTCTGGAAGAAGTCAACAGTGCAGCTGTAGCCTGGGAGAAATAAGAGGCAGTGGGAGGGTCACTGCGAGCCTCTGAGGCATCTCAAAAATCTACCAGGAAGCGCAGGACCCAGAGGGCTCTGCTGGCCACTGCAGGCCCTACTCCTTCATTGGCCAAACTCCCTCCTGACCCAACCACTAGGTGCCCGTGCAGCCACCATTCACCAGCTGCCAGGCAGTTAAGCCTGGATAAAGAAACTAAAACCCAGCCGCCATTCCACAGACACGTAGGCTTTGTCTACACTGCCAGCTTTTGCCCATCGAGAGTATGCAAATAAAGTGCTGATTAGCATTTTGTCACCTTTCATTTGCACATAATCTATTCGTACTGGTTTTGGCAAGGGTTTTTGCACAAAAACAAGCAGTATGGATGTTTCCTTTTTGCGCAAAACCCACTTTTTGTACAAGATCCTTAACCTTCTCTAGGATAATCAGTGCTTCATTTGCATACTCGTTGCCAGCAAAAGCCAGCAGTGTAGACATATCCATAGAGACAGAGATTTTCCAGATCAGCAATCTGCAGGAATTCCTTCGCTCACTCATGTACAGGATCTGCTCGCAAGACCCTGTGTAATGCTCAGTGAGTTACAAACCTTACAGCGCCTTCTACTTAAAATCAAAAGAAAAAAATATCTTCGGGTATCCCGCAAAAATTCCATTGTGTTCAGGGAACGCATTTGCTCTTCTGTTGTTTTTGCAGAAGAGCAAACGCGCTCTTTCGGGGAGCCCTGTAATTCCTCGTTCCAGAGGGGTTTTCTTCTGAAATTTGGCCCAGTCTTGATGGGCCAAATTTCAGAAAAGCCTCTTCTGACAAAAGTATCAGCAAAAGATATGCAAAATGTGGAGTGAATTTCGCATATATTTTTCCAATAGATTCTTGCAGTCTAACCATACCCTTAGAGCTATACAGAGATTTCAGAGTTCATATATCAGATTCAAATTAGCAAACTCACCAGTACTGCTAAGAAAGTCCCTCTGGAACACATTCATAGCTGGGAAAGGTCATTCAGTCCTTTGTTCAGAGCTTCCTATCTAGAACCGTTACTCTCAAATTAGCAAACTCACCAGTACTGCTAAGAAAGTCCCTCTGGAACACATTCATAGCTGGGAAAGGTCATTCAGTCCTTTGTTCAGAGCTTCCTATCTAGAACCGTTACTCCAGAGACAAGCTGAGCTGGGAAGAAGATAAAATGCAGAAGATGTAGCTACTTTCTATATTCTTTTCCCATATGGCTTGTATGACCTTTGTTCCAAACACAAGTTCATAGCAGATGACACAGAAAAGACTTGTTCTCTGGCCACAGGCAGATCCTCCATGTCTTGCTAACTCATAAGATGTATCCACTGGATCCTTTCCATGGGTTCTCTCTATTGCACCTGAGCCTTTATGGGACATCAAATGGCATAGGCAGTGCTGATGTCAATCTGGGGTGTCATCCAGATGCCCAGTACAAGTTTGAAATACAGATGTACCATATCTCTCTAGCTATCTATATATTTTAGAAGTGCATCTGATTATTCAAGAGCTCCTCCTAAACGGTAAGAGCTAGGACCACCAAATTTGGTATGCAGCCTCCTCTTCTCCTAACTAAAGCAAAGACAGAGTTTAATTGTGCCACAAAAATGGGAAGTTCTGGGAATGGGACTGTTTTCCAGAACATGGAAAAGGGAGGGGGCAGTGAGGAGTGATGTAATAGTCACAATGACCACTGAGGGCAGCAAGCACAAGGGACAGCTATACTGCAGAGTGGCTTTTGGGGGGCAGCCCTGCCCAAGAGACAGTACCACCCTGTGAGGGGGGAGGAGGAAAGAGGAAAGCCCCCACTGTCCCCGCTCCACCCTGGAGAGGTCAGGAGAAAAGGAGAAAGCCCCTACCTGCCCCACACCACCTGCCCCCTGCCCTACAGGACCTGGGCGATGCTGAATAAGTCAATATATATGTGAGAGAGTTTGTCTGTCTTGTGTGTCTAAAATGCTCAGCAGTTTCACATTTACATGAGGGGAGAAGGAGGTTCCAGAGGCAGCAGTGTAGCGGGTCAGGCAGGAGCCAGTGCTCACACAGAGCCAGCTTTTAAGCTAGCTCCCCACATTCACCAACTCCGGTGAAGCTGCCTGCCCCTTGCTCTGTGCTGCTGCCTCTGTATCAGAGGCAGCAAAGCAGGGAGACAGGTGGGAGCTAGTGCTCATGGGAAGCCAGGTTTTAAGTAGGCTCCGCATAGAGCTGCATACCCCCTGCACTAGCAGCATGGGAGGATGGGGGAGAGGTGGCTCTGTGGGAATAAAGCAATGAGATGTGACTTCAGGGGAGGGACCAATCCAGACATGGAAACAACTCTCTCTCATCTGGAGTCTGGTCTCAGAAATTTGGATTTTTCTTCCTATTTGGAAAATCCTCCTAAACAGAAGTGAATGGAAACCCTACTTGTACTCCTGGGATGGGCAATTAGTCAGTGGGGAATTCCCTGCCTCTCCCCACCCCCTCCCCAACTCTCACTCACCAGTCTCTCCCTGTGGCCTGCTCTTTTCCATCCAGGTCCCCAGCACCGCCCTACGACCAACAGTGGGAGAGTCATGGTACCCGTGGTCGTCTGCATTGTCCTGGGGACCCTGCTCTGCCTGGTCTTAATCATCCTGGGTGTGCAGGTGCGACGTGCCAGGGCTCAGCGCAGAGGTGGGTCCTGATGTGTGTTACTGTGTGAAATGCCCCTCCAGTAGCAGAGGAGGCGATCACGGTGGAGGGTGGGGAGTTGGCAGGGCCATGAAGGTCCACAGGACTGGAATAGCAGGGGGAGATGCAGCTGAGGGAAAGGGGCACGGACTGTAATGAAATACTAAACTGTTCTCTTGTTCAGCCAGAGAAGTTAAGTTCAGTATAAATTGTGCAGCCATTTATTTTAGTGCCCCTCAGCCATAGCTGTGAGGCTAGTAAGGGCACATCTACATGCAGGACTAAAGCTGAAATGAACTACACAACTTGAGCTACGTCAACTGTGTGGATGAAGTCGAAATAGCTTATTTTGACTTTAGGCGCTGTCTACACAGCAGGAAGTCAAAATTAGAGCACTCTTCCTCCAGCTTCCCTTACTCCTTGTACAAGAAGGATTACAGGAGTCCGAGTAAGAAGTTCTCCAGCTCAACATTATTTCAACATTATGTCTAAATAACTGCTTGCTGTGTAGACATGGACTATGCTATTTCAGAATAACATCATTTATTCCAAAGTAACTCTGTTGTGTAGACATAACTTTAGGGATCTCATTGTGAACACACCTGGCATATAGCTGTCTGGGAAGGAAACTCTGGAGACAATTTATATCTGGTACAGAAACCTCCTCTCCTAAAATCGCCCTGCAACCTTCCCTGTAGAAGGAGAACATGAGATGGTGTTTGAAGTTCAGCAGCGCTAGAGGAGAACAAAGCCAGAAGGAAAACATCAGCAGCAGTTGCTGACAGAAGAAATAGTAACTAAGATATGGACAAAAAAGGAAAGTAACAAAGGTTGCAGAATCTCATCAACATCCCTCCCTTCAATGCCCTAGAGAATTTCAGCATTGACAAACCTTCCCAACTGACAGATGAGAAAGCAGCAGTTTGAAAGATCTCAGATTGCTACAAACTCCCAAAGGACATGAAAGCTATGCAGGAATGTTCTTTAACTGGTGCTGTGGGGAAGCAGGTAAAGCATTTCTTTAAATCCTTTGATTTTTCTGAAGACAATCACAAAGGTAACTGGGAAAGGATTCTGCTATGTTTGGTGTGTACTTTATATGTCAGGGAAACATGGTTTATGAATGAGCACGTTCTCACAAGAGAATTCAAGGACTAGGGACACGTGTTGGATGCTTAGAAGAGATTTGCATTAGATGAACATTTCTTTTGGAACATCAAAACATGAAAATATCAGAGACAATCTGGTTATTGGGATAGGATGGGGGCCCGCAAAATTCTTGGTCTGTTGGACACATCTTGATATGCACATTTTATTGTGAGCCATGAATGCTCACAAAATTGGGGGTTAGAGTGCAGGAGAGGGTGAGGGCTCCAACTGTGGGTGGGAGCTTTGAGGAAAGCCATAAATGAGTTCAGGGCATGGGACAATCTCCAGTCTGGGACCAAAGGGTTCAAAGGGCTGGAGGGAGCTCTTGACCTGAACAGGGGATTGGGAATTACAGGGGTGAGGGCTCCTGCTGGAGCAGGCTCTGGGGTTGGTCTGAGGATGAGAGGTTTAGGGTGCAGGAAGGTGCTCTGGGATGGGTCTGAGGGTTTTGGAGGGTGAGAGGGAGATCAGGGCTGGGGCAGGGAGTTAGAGCGTGGGAGGCTTAAGGGTGCAGGATTTGGGAAATGTTTACCTAAAGAGACTCCTGGAAGCAGCAACCCATCCCCCATCTGTATCCCACACAGAGGTGCCGTCATGCAGCTCTGCACACTTTCCCAAGAACATATATCATCCCCACAGCTCCCATTGGCTTTGGTTCCTGGCCAATGGGAGCTGCAGAGCCAGCACTGGTGGCTGGGGCAATGTGTGATGTCCCCGGCTGCCTCTGTTTCCAGGAACTTTATGGCACCATTATGCCTGGAATGGGGTAAGGCAAACCCCCAACTTCACTCCCCGACTAGAGCACCAGGTTCCTGACGCCGCTATAAGTTGTTGCCATAATCACTGACCTGGGTGTTGTCTCTTCTTTCCTGAAAGGGACAAATTCCAGCCATAAATAAAAGCCTTACAACCTAAAATGAAAAGTTGCAATCAAGAGTGATTGTTTCCAGGGTTGATGACGTGTGAAGATACAGAGCCTGCCTTGGGAGTGAAACTGAACAGTCAGAAAAACGCTCTCGACTTCAAAATTGATTCAGGAGCAGATGTTGATTTACAAGAATCATGGTGGCTCTGACACACCCTGACGGCATTCTGAATTGCATGAGCCAGTGCACCCCAGAAACCAATTAAAAGGACAAACACTTTGCATTCAGAGGGCATGTGATCAAAGGATCAAAGACCAACAACTTTCCACTGCAGCCAAAGTGACTTGTGACAAAGGTGGAAAAATTAAGAGGATTTGGTGACACTGGAATGTCAAAAGGAGATCCAGCAAAAATCAATTTAGGAGACATTTCAGACTCACGCCATGTATGTCAGAGAGAAGAACCAACAGAGCAATCCCTGCAGCTAGCAGGTGCAGAACAAGACAAAAATAATACCCATGGTTTCCAAAGGGGCCATAGCCAGGCTCTGTCACTAATGGCTACCCAGCTGACCAAGTTGTTGTGTTGGGTCAAGTAACCAGAAAAGCGACATGACTGGGAAACAGGCTGGTGCACCCTGAGCTGGTGCACCCTGAGCTACAAAGGCAGCATGACAGGAGGGTGGGGTCAGCCTCTTCCTCAGGGAGGGACGCTGATCTGGGCTGGGCAGAAGATTGTGGGGCACGTGACAGGAGGAGCAGGTCCAATAGGCCAAGGGAGGCTCAGTGACCCCTGGTGCTGATGTAGCTCCTGGACCCCAGGTTGCACGACTTTGGGCATTTTATTTATCCTGCCAGTGCAGATTGAGAAGCAGCTGAGGAGGCGCGTGACTGATAAATCCTGCCTGCTCGGCCCCCCAGGGATCTGTGCGGGGCAGTCTCTGAGAGACGTAGGCTTTCTGTGAGCCACATGGTGTGTGGGAGCAGAGCGGGGGCTGCAGCTAGTGCAGGGCTCTGGGCAGGGGTTCAGGGAAATGATACAAAAGGATGAAGGAGATTACAAATATAATCAGAACAGTAACAGGCTGAGATTCCTGTTGCCAAGGCACTGCACACGTGAGCCGGCTGTTCCCCACACAGGCTCTAGCAGTACAGGCACAAGTGCCACTTTGCCGGTAGATAAAGGCCCCAGGCTGCAGAGCAGTGAATTTGGGTGGTACTGGGGAGAGGGCACATTTATCAAGGGATGAGCCTGGCTGAATATCAAGAGCAGGTTAATGCCAATGAAACAGTCAATAGAATCAGGGCTCTGGGCAGGGGTTCAGGGAAATGATACAAAAGGATGAAGGAGATTACAAATATAATCAGAACAGTAACAGGCTGAGATTCCTGTTGCCAAGGCACAAGGAAGTCGAGGGGAGGGGAAGAGCCTGAATAGAGAGATTTGTGGGGAGGGGTACAAGGAAGGAGAAATGCTGCAAAGGAGTTTGGGTGAGAGAGGCCAGAGAGATCAGACAGTCCTACTGATGCTGGGCACTCGGGTGTCCTCCTGCTCCTGCCTTTCTGACTCAGTGGCCGTCATTTGGGAGGATGTTGCTCTGGTTAGAGCCTTGGGAGGCTGTCTGAGCATGGCCAGTGCCTCTCCCCCAGGATGAGACCCTCCCTGGCCTCTTTGCTAATGGGGGGGTTTGTCTTAGGCGGACTGGGGAACCGTTTTGTGTCGGGGCCACTGACCTGCAGAGAAATCAGTTGGGGTCCACACACAAGTGAGAAGCGGGGGAGGCCTCGGGAGCCAGAATCAGGCCAGCCTTGGGTTCCCCACCCCATCTCAGGATCGGACTCTCACCCTGAGTGGGACGAGGCCCAATCTGGCCTCAGAGCAGGGCAGGGGGAGCCATTAGCTCACAACAGGGGCAGTCATGTGACTGGGAGTGCAAACCTGTCCCCAGCTAGTGCCAAGGGTCCCAAGGAGACCAGTGGAAGGCAGCAGACCCATGATAAAGGACTCGTTCAGCCCTTCCCTTGCATCATCGGTAGTAGGGGGTCCCCAGCATTTTCCCAGTGTCACTCAATCCAGGCCAAAGCCACAGTTCCCGTGACAAACAGGTGTCACTCTTGCAAAGTCTGCAATTCGGAATTGCACCAGCCAGTTCACCCCAGACACCATGTACAAGGACAAACACTTTGCATTCAGAGGGCATGTAATTGGAGGATCAAGGGCAACAACTTTCCACTGCAGCCAAAGTGACCATTGTGACAAAGGTGGACAAATGAAGAGGATTTGGTGACACAGGATTAATGTCAGTGAAATAGCCATTGGAGCAAACCCCAAAGGGACATAGACCCTGTCACCAGGGCATTGAAACAGAGCAGGAGGAATGTGCTGGAGGGGCGACTCCTGTATTGGCAATGGGTCAGGGAGGGAGCCATTGCAGACTTACACCTTGTGCCTCAGAAAGAAGAACCAATGGAGCAATCCCTGCAGCTGGAAGATGCAGAACGAGACGGCAATAATACCCATGGTTTCCAAAGGGGCTGCAGCCAGGCCTTGTCACCAATGTCTAGCCAGATGACCAAGTTGTTGCGTTGGGTCAAGTAACCAGAAAAGCGACATGACTGGGAAACTCTTAACCCTGAGCTACAAAGGCAGCACAATAGGAGGGTGGGGCCAGCCTCTTCCCCAGGGAGGGGTGCTGATCTGGGCTAGACAGAAGATTATGGGTCACATGACAGGAGGGGCAGATCCGCTAGGTCAAGGGAGGCTCAGGGACCCCTGGTGCTGCTGTAGCTGTCGGGTTGCAGGACTTTGCGCGGGAAGCTTTTATGTATCCTGCCAGTGCAGGTTGTGGAACTCCTGAGGAGGCGTGTGATTGGTAAATCCTGCCTGCTCGCCCCCGCAGGGATCTGAGCGGGGCAGAGTGAAGCTCCTTCCAGGGGATGGTCTCCCAGAGACGTGGGCTTTCTGTGAGCCGCATGGTGCGTGGGAGCAGAGCGGGGGCTGCAGCTAGCGCAAGGCTCTTGGCAGGGCCCAGGGAAATGATACAAAAGGATGAAGGAGATAAAAAATCTTGTCAGACAGTAACAGGCTAAGATTCCCATTGCCAAGGCGCTGCACACGTGAGCCGGCTGTTCCCCACACAGGCTCTGGCAGTACAAGCACAAGTGCCACTTTGTTGGTCGGTGAAGGCCCCAGACTGGACAGCAGTGATTTGGGTGGTATTCGGGGGAAAGGGGGAGAGGCACATTTATCAAGGGACCAGTCAGGGCGAATGTCAAGGGAAGGTCAATGCCAGTGAAACAGTCAATAGAATAAACCCCAAACAGACAGAGCACTGAATCTAGACTGGACAGATCAGTAGGAATGTGCCGGAGGGACTAGTCCTGCATTGGCACCGGGGCAAAGGGGAGGTCTGGATGGTCTCAGAGGGTTTCCCAGCTCTGGGTTCTCTGACCCTGTGCAAACCCGGCCCTTTGTTTCCAGGCTCCAGAAGATCCTCGGACCCTTTCTCTGAGGCGGTGTACGAGGAGATTGACTATGACCTGATGAGGAAGGTGCAGCTGTTCGGTCGCTCAGGTCTGTGTGTGTCATTTCTAGCAGGGACAAACCTCCAGGCCCTTTGCAGGCTGAAACCCTGACCCAGAGCTAAATCTCCTCAGACTTCAGCCCTGTGAGTCTGGGATGGCTGCTGGCCCTGGCTCTGTGGGGAGACCGGCAGTGACTGGACTCAAACGTAGGCGATTCCTCCCCAGCAGAGCCTGCTCGCCTGCTCTCGGGACAGCCCATCCCTTGTGTCCAGAATGGAGCCTGGGGAGGGGCACTAGTTATGGTCCAGGAACGTGTCCTCCTGCTCCTGCCTTTCTGACTCAGTGGCCGTCATTTGGGAGGATGTTGCTCTGGTTAGAGCCTTGGGAGGCTGTCTGAGCATGGCCAGTGCCTCTCCCCCAGGATGAGACCCTCCCTGGCCTCTTTGCTAATGGGGGGGTTTGTCTTAGGCGGACTGGGGAACCGTTTTGTGTCGGGGCCACTGACCTGCAGAGAAATCAGTTGGGGTCCACACACAAGTGAGAAGCGGGGGAGGCCTCGGGAGCCAGAATCAGGCCAGCCTTGGGTTCCCCACCCCATCTCAGGATCGGACTCTCACCCTGAGTGGGACGAGGCCCAATCTGGCCTCAGAGCAGGGCAGGGGGAGCCATTAGCTCACAACAGGGGCAGTCATGTGACTGGGAGTGCAAACCTGTCCCCAGCTAGTGCCAAGGGTCCCAAGGTCAGCCCTTCCCTCACGTCATGGGCAGTAGGGGGGTCCCTCAGCATTTTCCCAGTTTCACTTAATCCAGGCCAAAGCAACAGTTCCCGTGACAAAGGGGTTTCACTCTAGAAAAGTCTGAGCCAGCCTCTTGCCACTCAGAGTCGCTGTGAATTCAGCATCTTCTCTGGAAGAAGCAACACAGCGAGACCATAAATCCTGCTCCAGGACCTGGCTCTGTCGGCCACTGGCCAGCGCAGCTGCTCTCACTGTAGTAACATCCTGCTTCCCGTCCCTCCAGGCTCCTATTCAGATGAGTCCATGAGGAAGCTGCCGTATTACACCGGGGACAGCGAGGGGGAAAACGATGCTGGATCAGAGCAAGGTAACAGGGGAAAGGGATACACCAGAGACAGGCCCCGCCTCTGTGAGGGGAATCGAATTTACACCTATTTCTGTCCCAGCTTTGGATGTAAACGTGTGATCAACCCTGCCCCCTTCTCTGTGTGGCTCATGGTGCTCTCCCCAGGGGAGGAGCTGCAGGGAACTGGGCAGGGAAATATTTACCTGGCATGAAAGACTCTGAGGTTCATAGCTGGTCTCTGCCACTAACCCGGCCCTGATCTGTGCCCCGTGATCTTAGCTGCCTCACGAGCTTCGCTCCCTCTCGCCTTCATGGGAGCACAATCTAGCCTCTGTAAACAACTCAGGTAGGTTCAAAAGAGTCAGTCCTGGCTTGAAATGGGACTGGGACTTACCCCTGCTGTGGCTCTGCATTTAAAGTGTATTAGAGGCAGGCGGGCAGGCAGCCTGGCTCAGTTCTGGCTCACGACAGGTCTGGGAGCTCAGACACTCCCTAGACAGGGGCTGCTGCCACCCCGTGCTGCTGTCTCTTTATTAGATGCACCAGCACAGGATGAGAGGCAGCCAGTCTGTGGGGGGCACCCTGTTCTGCTGTCTCTGATAGAGGCTGCAGTGTGGAGTGGCAGGGGGTTCCTCAGGAATGGAGCTGGCTGCTGTCCCCATCCCCGGGGACTACAGAATAGTCAACTAATCAATAAGACTCGACTTGCTGGCTGAAGTGACTGTTGGATGTCAGGGTGCCTGGCTGCACGCTAGTTGCTTAGGAGGCAATGAGGCTGACAGAATCCCTATCTCACAGGATTTCCATGATCCTCCCTTTTCTCTTGGATTCCCCTGGGACTTCTCCTACAGAATCCATGAGACACAGGCCAAGCTCCAAGGCAACAGCTGCTTAACAGAGACCTAAAGCCGGCTAGGGAAGGGGCATGTTCAGGAGATGCTAAGTATGGGGCTTGTTGTAACAGAGGGAGCTTCTCTTGCAGGGTCCCAGCTGGATTCTGATAATGTGAAGGAACCAGCATCGAGCGACACCCCCCGGACTGCAGGCGGTCAAGGTGAGCAGTGAATCTACCTCCTGAAGCCAACGTCCCCCTTGGCTACTGCTGCTCTCCCCACCCTTCATTTTCTATTCGGTCCTTTTGTCCTTAGCTCAGGGCCAGGACAAATTAACCAACCAGGAATTAACGAGCCAGGATTTAGCCAGGCAGAGGCATTTCACAATTTAAATCTCCCCCATTGTTTGCTTAAGGAGCCATGTTCTTGTCATTTTTCTGTTTGCTCTTTGCTTCCCTTCCAACAGCCTCCTTTGTTTGCTTTTTATCTCTGCAGTGTGGCAGGATAATGAGGTGTCTGTGGCACATAAGCAACAATACACACAACTCCCTCATTGTCCACACCTCCACGTAGCTCACTTTGCTGTTCAGTGGGAAGCCTCTTCTCATTCCCATTCATTCCCCTCTTTATTTCAGAGGTCCCTGCTCTCCCTGGAGGTGCCCCAGGGGATGGCTATGATGATGCCAGAGAAACTTCTGATGCTGAAGATGACCCTGATTCGAGACCAAGTGGCCAGGAAGTCATTGGGGTCCATGGGGACAGTGACAGGGCCAGGTGTTCACAGACAGGTGAGCAGGGAGGTGAAATTTTGCCGAGTCTCACAATGTTTGTTCAGAGGTCCCTGCTCTCCCTGGAGGTGCCCCAGGGGATGGCTATGATGATGCCAGAGAAACTTCTGATGCTGAAGATGACCCTGATTCGAGACCAAGTGGCCAGGAAGTCATTGGGGTCCATGGGGACAGTGACAGGGCCAGGTGTTCACAGACAGGTGAGCAGGGAGGTGAAATTTTGCCGAGTCTCACAATGTTTGTTTCCCTCTCCCCCTCAAAAAATATCAGTTCTTGGAGATTAACTTAAAGATTCAGAAACCATAAGCTAGCAACAACAACAACAATCACCTTTCTTTAAAAAACAGCCTCCTTATTTTCTATACAAACTCAGTGTATCTGGGACCTTGGGGCTTATTGTGGAACACCTGAGATTGGCAATGCTGGACATTTCTGTTTTTCCCAGTGACTGCGCCTGTGGAACAGTCTCTCACTTGGAATGGGGCTGTTGCTGCAAGGAAGCAACTCTGTCCAAAGCAAGTTCTGTGAGGAGTCTCTTCTCCCTGTGAGAAGGTTTCCCAGACAAGGCCCCTGATCCTACACCCGCTGGATCCTGTCCCTCACTCTGCCACATGAATGGCATCGCTGACCAGCAAAGCTACACACGACCAGGCAGGCTGGGGCCAGAGAGCCCTTCCCCAAACAAGGTGTCGGTGCCCTGCATGGTAACAGGGAGGGCAGAGTCCTGCTGTGGGACTCTGCCCCACGTGCTCCCTGTGTGGGTCAGAGAGAGACAGCGCATCACACTTGTCAGGGGCCCACTCAGTGGAATGGGGGGTCACTCCCAGCCTGCGCTGTGTTGCCCACCTGTTCTGTGAGTGCGCGGTGGGGGGGGAGGGACACACTGGCTGTAACGGGCCCCCCTTGCTACTTTCAGCCTGGAGTCTGCGCTCGCCCAGACGCGAAGGGGCCTCTGAGGTGAAGAGCGACGCCCCGGCCCCGGCTCCTGGTGACGCGGGCTATGACGATGTTGGAGACGGTGTCTCTGGAACAGCCACATAGGAACAGCTGAGCCCAGAGCAAAGCTCCTGTGAGCATGTAACTGCTGTAGGATTAGACTCTGCCTCCCCCGCACGTTCATGGGCCAACGGGCGTCAGACAGACCCTGCCTGGAACTGCTTCAATCCGCTTTTTTATCGCAATTTTGTATAATCCAAGGAGCAGAGCGACTGAGCAGGGTCTGTGATTTCCTCTGTAACTTCCCATCGCTCAGCGTCGCGGGGCCTTTGCTGCCTTTTTGTTCCTAACACGGCTCCACTGGCAACTTTTGCCCTTTCTCATTAAAGCCTTTTGGAAGGTCTGTTCTGGGTGGAAGCTTCTCTCGTGCAGGTTGGGTGGTGCCCAGAGGCCTGGCAGGGACAGAGATGGAGACTGAAGCACGGTGCTGAGCGTGAATGCGCCTTTGGGCTGTGGTAATAGTGAGAAACCAGCAACAGCAGAATCTTAGCTCCAGGGAGGGCCCTGCCCCCAATCCAGGCTCCAGACTTCCCTCAGGAGTCCAGGAGGAGAAACGGGGGGTGATTTGCTGGTACCTCACTGTGTGTGGGCTCCTCACTCATGAGATCCATGGCTAGGCCCATGCTCAAGAAGCCCCGATTTCAGGCTGGTGTTGCCCTGCCTCTGCCTCCCTTGCTCTGGGTAATTTCACCGAGCAGGTTGTGGGGAAGCTACTCTCCTGTCCCCTGCTTGACGTGAGCTGCCTTGGCCGGGACAAATGCTGGGGAGGGCATGGGAGCTGCTCTGCTTTCATTGGATACTGACTCCATCCTGCATTAATGTCCATGAAATGCCCTCGGTTATTGTCAAGACTGTTCCCCACTCTGGCACAATGAATGCTGAAGTTGGGGGCCCGCAAGAGCACTCCAAAACCTTGCCCTCTATAGCACTCCAAAAACTTCCTCCACAAAATCCTAATACCCAGATGGCCCGCTGCCACCACACAAGTTATTCCAAGAAAATCTGGTGTCAAGGCTGATTCCCCACGCTGGCACAATGAATACAGAAGTGGGGGACCCACAAAAGTACACCAAAACCTGATCTTTCCAGGCTTTAGTATAAAACTTCCCCCAAAATCCTAAAAATCTAGATTTTGGGGATAAAAATCCACTGCCACCATCAAGTGTTTTTGAACCCACAAATAGGGGTGCACACTTGAAACCAACCCCAGGGCACCCCAAGCTCTTTTCCCCAAAGAGCTTGAAAAAGAAAAGAGAAAATACCAATTGCAGTCTGTGGTAGCTGTATCCTAGTCAGAGGCATGCAGATCCCACAGACAGATTTTCCGAGATATAGAACTGAACCAATACCAGGTTAATAAAAAAAGAAAGAACTTTTATTATCAAAACAATACTCCTGTTGCAAGCATAATGATTAGATGGAAAAAAATCACCAATTGTTATACTCATGGGAGACTCTCATGGGCCAAAACTTAGTTACAAAAGAGAGGAAACCCCATTTCTAACAGCACAGACATCAGATCCCAAGTCGCACTACAGAAAACAAAACGGATTTATCTGAACTTTATCCTACTTACACATTGTGAAGAGTCTTTTTCTTGGAGAGAGACATGTCTTCTGTCTCCCTCAGTATCTAGATCAAACTGGGCAGAGACAAAGGAGGAAAACTCCAAAATTCTTTTGTCTCAGTTTGAAATCCCTATCTGCATTTCTACTGGCTGACTGCTACCTGGCGAGGCTGCTCCCCAACCCTCATGGTCATGACATCAGGAAAGAGATCACTTGGGAAACCCCCTCCCTAAGGTAAAACTCTCCCTCCTGCCCAACCTCCATTTGCTTGGAGTTGGGAAAAACAGAGGGAATCCACAGACAACAATGGACTCTGCCCTTGTAACAATCAATCGATACCAGTTAATTAGAAAAAAAAAACCCTATCTTTTATTATCAAACCAAACTACAGTTTGGAGCATAGTAAATTAGCTCTTTCTTTAGATGGAAAGAGACACCATTTGATATAAATACTCAGGAAAAACCCCTGGGCTGTGTCTACACTGCACCCCTTTTCCGGAAAAGGGATGCAGATTAGACACTTTGGAATAGCAAAATCCGCGGGGGATTTAAATATCCCCCGCGGAATTTGCATTAACATGGCTGCCGCTTTTTTCCGGCTTGGGGATAAGCTCTTTCCACGAGGAGTAACGGTAATTCCGATTAGGAAGCCTATTCCGAACTACCTAGTTCATGCCGCGTGTAGCCGCGGGCACGGAGTCCGAACTAGCGGACATTTAAAAATGGCGGCACCCGGCAACATGCAAATGAAGCCAGAGAAATTCAAATCCCGGGCTTCATTTGCAAGTTCGTATGACTACATTAACCACCCTAGTTCGAACTAGGGTGGTAGTGTAGACATACCCTCAGTTCTTTGAGAGAGAAGCATCTTCCATCACCCTCAATCCCTGGGAGAAACTGCTCTGCTGTCAAAGAAGAGAAAGCGAGAAAAACCCCTGTCTTCCAGTTTGAAATTCCTACTTGCATTGTTATAGGCTGACTGTCCCACATGTTGGCTAGATACTGAGTTAACCCCTTAGTCACCGGGTGCTCAACAGAACTCCTGATTATGACAGTGATCCACAAGCACTTTCAAAACCATGGAGAAATACCCCGTATGGTTAATGTAGTCAGAGGCAGGATGGTCTGGTGCCAGAATGAGAATGTGTGTGCCATCTATCACCCCACCAAAGTTTGGGAAGCCCAGCTGTGCAAAACCACCCACAACTACATGGACACTCTTGTGCAAAAAAGGCCACCCGGAACCACTTCAGGAAGGGCTTAAGGTCACTAACTGCTTCTGAGGGCTGATGCTGGAGCCCTGCAGAAACACATTCTTAAAGGGACCCTCTGGAGAGCCATTTCTCTGCTGCTGCTGCCTGCTTACTACCTCTGTGAGGGACAGAAAGGCTCTCGCAGTGCTTCCTGTGGTTGCCCTGAGCTTCTTTGGACACCACAGTTTTTCCATTTTGTGCCAAAGAGCCAGAGATGTCCCCAGGCATGTCTTGGTTCCACAGGGCCATGCTGCAGTTTCTGATGCAGTTGCTGCTCTGTGCCATGCTGCTCCTGAAGGAACTTGACCATGATGACCCTCTGGAGTCCCTCTCCCTGTGTGTGATAGCTTCACTGCTGGACACGGAGCCCACTGTGGAGAGGTGATTCTGGAAGCTGGACACCAGTTCCAACTGGTGGGACCGGCTGGTCATGGAGCAGTGGAACGACCAGCAGTGGCTCCAGAACTTCCGCTTGAGGAAGGACATGTTTCTGGAGCTCTGTTCCTGGCTCACCTCTGCCTTCCGAAGACACAACACCCACCTGCGGCCCACCATCCCAGTGGAGAAGAGGGTCACCAGGGCCCTCTGGAAGCTCACCACCCTGAACAGCTACCAGTTTGGCATAAGGAAGTCCACCATCAGGGCGCTTCTCATGCAGGTAAGTCCCTCTGGGGCTGCAGTCCCTGTACTAGCGGGGGGACAGTCCTGGCTGTGGGGGGTGGAGTGAGGGTGGGGAGAAGCCCTGCACCCCAGGGGCTTGTGCCATCCTGCCCTCACACAGCCCTGCTGCTGGGGGTGGCTGCTTCATGGGGGGGGTCCTGGGGGGTTGGGGGGAAAGCAGATGGAAGAGGGGCGGGCGGCACCCAC